ATTATACTGTGGTGGTGCCGGATGGTACTGTGGAGGAGTAGGGTCGTACCGGGGTAGCTAAAGATCCTCCTGCTACAGGGGTGACTCAACCTATGGCAGTGAGGGAGGGTCAGCTAACTCCCTCCTTTTCTTCTGGAGCTTGCTGGACAACGATGAGTCTCTCCATTATTTCAAATAATCGGTCAACATCCTCTCGAAGCGAACCCTCTCGAGCTGCTCGATTTAGTGGAGGTCTTTCTCTCCTCGTATATCTGTAACTGCATTTCATAAGGAATGGTTGAGTGATAATTCATTTTTTTTGTGTTTCCTAAGGTTTTTATGTAAGGAATGGTTTTGAGTAATGTGGCTTTGATACTAAATGTAACAACCCGGAACTTAAAAAGAAATAAATTACAAATTGAATGCGAAAACAAAATAATAGAGTTAGGTTTTATATTCCTTACACAATAATTTAGAATACCCAATAGGGCTACGAGAATGACCCTTTTAAAAGAACAAACGAAAAATTAAGAAATGAATGAAAAGTAATTAGGTATCCTAGAACGACCTTCACTAGCCTTTAAAAGGAGTTCGGATGGCGAACTATTCACAACCACCTTGTTGATCGGGGTCTGGATTTTGGTCCTCTTGATCTGAAATGGTTAATGAAAGGGTGAGTTATACTAGCCCAGTAAGAATAACACACTACTCACCGATACATAAATGAATGTTGGTAAAAATTATAAAAACAATTAATGAAGCTCTTAATTTAAGTAAATTCATTTATTATAAGTAAAATTATTTATTGTATACTTACCATTTGCGAGATTTTTAAAACTGATTTATAGAGACAATAGCTCAACAATATCATAATCTCATATTTAAGTAAGTAAATATAATAATTTTCTTTTTTTATTTGCCTATTGATATCCATGGGGGTCCATAGGGATATCCCGCTATGCGTGAACCCATATTAAAACTTGTCAACTAACCGGCCGTCCCCATACCCTGTCTAGGATGAGCGCCAAAAATACTATCCCTCAATACCCTGTTCGATATGAGGGTGAAACAAGCCGTCCCCATATTCTATCCGACATAAGCGCCAAAAATATCATCCCTCAATACTCCGTCCGGTATGAGAGTGAAACGGACTGTCCCCATACCTCATCCGATATGAGCACCAAAAATATTAATCCTTGATACCCTGTTCGGTATGAGACGACGTTCACGGTAGTGTTCCCTATATACCCGGTTTGTCCACCATCTTCTAAGATATCCAATAAGACTATCATTCATTCATTCATTCACTTAACCAATCCATTTGTATATTAATTACCAATTTCACAAGCAACCGTAAATCACGCAAGACAAACAATATATATATTACGGAAGCACAATTGAATCATCTTATCAATTTCTAGTATATTATCATGCATTTAAAACTATAGAATCAAACCATCAGTTAAAACAGGACAAACAGTAATAAATAACCGTTTCCGACTCCATTAGTAACCTGTAATTAATTATCAATTTTTTTTTAATTTTATAAAATACCGTATTATTGATAATTAGACTTCAATAACATAACATGAAATAAAGTGAGGGATTCTTACCCGAATCGATGTCCGAAATACTGAACTTTTTACTGCGCTTACTGGCGATCTCTGGATTTTTTAAATTTTTATGCGGAGATTAAAACACGCTTCACGTACCTAGAAATATCCCAAAAAACTTAAAATCGATGCTAAAAATTATTTTTTAGCCAATTTTGAAATTCCGACACGGCAGTACTACCGTATTCCGACGACGACACTACCGTCTGCGGCGGTGGTTTGCCTCAGACTGATCGTTTTCGGCCATTTTTGGCTGATTTCAGCTGGTTTTATATTTATCCTTACGAGAAAACACGCTAAGGGATATCAAAAATAAAATTTACCGGCGGTAAAATTTTTCAGTGCGGCAACTCTGCCAACTCACCTTCATGGTTGGATATTTTTCTTCGGTCAACTAGTAGAAAATAGAATAGTGAACACAATGGTAAAAAAATCGCACGAAATGAGAATCGAAAAAGGGGCTCATCGAAAGTGATTTTTAATTTTTTTCGCGGCGGGCCCCGCCGGGCTTTTCTCACAGTTTTCAGCTCATATGTCGTTTCTTTTGCTCTGATTTGACATGGAGGTGTTAAAATTAATTTCGAGTGATAGATATTTTACATTTTTTA